AGTAGAATAACAGCACAGTTTTGGAAAGGAAGTCTAGAAATTAAATAGTCTGTAATGAGAAGAGAAGCATTTGGATTTGGTTATTGGTGTTAAAAAGCGTAATGTGTAGACCTAGGTTGGTGAATGTACCTTAATATAAAAATAGGTTTGGAGAAGTGTGCTTATTGTACTTTCAAAAGAATCTTACTGCATGTAGCAATATACATATGATGAAGTAAAATTTAATGTGTATTGTGTGTGTGCATGTGTAAATATACAGCGCTTGCAAATGGGCTAAAACTTTTTGATATGACCATTTCATGGAGTAATTTTGAATTTTATATCTAAGGCACATTTAGAGCCCATTCAATCCAAGCCAGCATACACACAAAGCTTCTATTGTTTTCAGAAGGATTTCTGTCCGTGGAGGGAAGTCTCACAGGATTGGGTTTGCAATGTGAGGAGGGGAAAATTGAGCAATAACAGACAGTTTTGCGACATAATCACTTAGTTGCTTTTTTTTAATCAAAAGTTTGGTATGGTGGAATTCCTTATATTTTTTTTCCAGTGTCTACTTTACTAAAGTATTTGGGGAAAAAAAAGAAATCACTTTTTTTTTTAATAGCATAATGCAGAGCCTACTAGGTAAGAGAGAGCCTGGAGTTTGTTTTCTTCTTGCTTATTCCCCCTTGCCCCTCAGGATTGCGAGTTGGAGGAGTGCTCTAGGGCAGTGTTTCTCAATCAGTGGTATGCATACCCTTAGAGGTGCACGAGAGAAGTCTAGAGAGTACCTCAACACAAGTGAAATTTGGCAAAAAATGTCCTGGATTTTGCCCTGCAAAGGGAATCAGGGAAGGGGCAGCAGCATGTACCTGTCAAATTGAACGTTCGGAGCCACATACTCGGATGTTAACAGCTGATCTGCACACATGCCTAGTAGGAAAAGCATGTGGCTGCAGCAGCTACAGTGAGATCCAGGGCAGTTCCAAGTTGGGGGGGCTTTTGGGCAGGGAGAAAAAAAATCACTTCCATGGCCACCTCTCCTAGTTTGTTGCCTCTCCAGCAGCCTCCCCAGGGTGCTCTAGCAGGGAGGGCAGCTGAACCTGGAGACGCGCAACCTCCCCCCCATTCCCACCAGCAGCTCAGCACAACGCATCCCCATTTCCCCTTCCCTGTGGTACTGCGGAGAGGAGCTAAAAGGTGGTGAAGCAGCATAATAAGCTTTGCTCCAAAGGACCCTATTGCATCAGTGGCATAGCTGGGGGGGGGGGGCAGCATTTGTCCCAAGGTGCCACTCTAGGGGGGGTGCCAGGCTGGGGTGGGAGCTCACAGCTCTACCTGGCGAGCCCGGCGCTGCTGGGTCACTTGCTCCCTGCAGACAAGCTGCCAAGGCAGGGTCGAGCAGTGGGAGCGGGTACTTCAAAGGACGGTGCCTGGCTCTGGGGGAGGGGAGGGGAGGGGCATTGGGTTAGAGCAGAGGGGCTGAGGGTGCCTGGCTCTGTGGGTACTTAAATTTTTTTTGAAAGGGGTATTTTATAATAAAAAAAAAAGGTTGAGAAACACTGCTCTAGAGGCAGGCTGCTCAACCCCTATGCAAGGAAGTTCTACTAACCACAAAACAGTGCTGCTTCCCCCTCCCCAATGCGGTGGTGTTGACTGACCCCTGAAGCTTATCTTTGCACAGATCTTTAGAGTGAGTCATGGAGAGAATGGGAAACCCTCTGGGTTCTTCCAGGAGTGCACAATACTTATTTAAAACAATACCTGTATCATGTGATTCAAAAGTTTCTGCTCCAGTGCTCCAAAATAAGGAGGTTGGGTAACACTGAAGGTTCTATGGGGGGAGGGGGGAAGTTTGATGATTTTTGAGGCGTTGCAGAAATGAGAACACTATCATAAAGTTTTTTCAAAGCATTATAGTTTCTACAAAAGTTATGCAATATTTTGGTATACAAGTAAAAGTCTTTCTGATAATGTTTGTTGAAAATAAATGGAAATATATTTAAAGTGAATGCAGTGTGTTATACCAGTGATTTCTCTTTGCACACAATTCAGTATTCATATTAAATCCCAATATTGGATAGTTCTGGAGTATGAATGTTGTAACATGATTGTCATAGTGGCATGGAAATACATCTTTTAAAATAATAGTGTCTGTTCACCACAATCACTTTATATTTACTAATAATGTTTAGCACTTACACAATGCTTTAACATGGTCAAGGACCGTACAAAGGTTTTATTAATACTAGTTCCAACACCCCTTTGAGGAAAGTGAGTATGACCCAGTTTTAGCAACAGGGAAATTAAGCTAGAGAACTTAAATATCAGTAACTTACATTACTCTTATTGGGAAGCTTCCGGGGGTAGCTGAGTTGTCTGTACAGAAGTATAGACATTACTGTATACAGTATTACTCTTATTGTTCAGAAGATATTAAATTTAGTGGCAAAGAATACAAAAATAGTTTGTTGTCCTAAATGATGTATGCTGTTCATTGTCCCTGACCCTCTAGTTTGCAGAACCTACTGTATGAAATATTATCATCCATCCTGAGCTGGATTAAGCTGCCACAGGAGGGTGTGTTAACTGACCCATAGGCTGTAGCAGGACTTCCTGACATTCTAAACTTGTATTTGTCCTCCAGACTACACTGCCCTTCCTGTTGAAAACTAAAAGCAATAACAAGAAAGGAGATCAGAGATCTATTGGAATTCTTTGCAGCTATCTGTAAGCATGTGGATAAGGGTGATCCAAGCAATATAGTGTACGTGGACTTTCAGCAAGCATTTGACAAGATCGCTCATGAAAGGGTTTTAAAGAAACTAAATTCAGCTGTATGGAGAGGAAATCCATCTACATGTTTTGTTAGTCTTTAAGGTGCTACTAGACTATTTGTTGTTTTTTAAGTTTTTCCTAAATATTCATGTTTTGGGAGGGGATGGTCTTCTAATGGGTCAGAAACTGGTTTAAAAGATAGGAGGCAAAGGGTTGGAATAAATGGTCTGTTTTCACAACAGAGAGAGGTAAACATCCGAGTTCTTCAAGGATGTGTACTGGCACGGCACCTGTGCTGCTCAACACATTCTTTAGTGATCTGGGAAAAGGGAGTGAAAACTGAAGAGGCAGAGTTTGCAAATGATAAAAAAAAATTATTCAAGATCGTTAAATGCAAAGTAGATTTCAAAGAGTTATAGGGGAAATTTCACAAAACAGAGTGGGTAAAAAAGCCAAACACCTCAGCATAAGTAATTCCACAGTAATGTAAATCTGGAAAAATAGCGTTCTAACTGCACATGTGTAATGATGGGTTTTGTGTTACCATACAAAAAGGATCTTGGATTCACCATCAATAGCTCTCTGAAAATTTCAGTTCAATATGTAGCAGCAGTCAAAAAGTCTAACTGAATGTGAAGAGGAGGTAGAAAATAAGATGGAAAATACCATAATGTCATTGTATAAATCCATGGTGCCCCCATATCTTGAATACTGTGTCCAGTTCTAGTTGGCCCATCTCTAAAAGGTATAATGGAACTGGGAAAAGGTTCAGAAAAGGTAGATAATCAGGGCATGAAATGGCTTCCTAACAAGGAGGAACTAAAAGATTAGGGCTAAGAAGCTATGTTTCAGGGCAGTGGTCCCTGGACTGTGAGGTGTACCCTCTAAGGCTAAATGGAGAAATGTCTAGTGAGGCACATAGGGCCCCTGGCCAACTGTCAAAGGAGGGTGAGGAGAGAGCGCCACCCAGCCCTGATCTGCCCCCATCTCCACTGTGGCCTGGCTCCTGCTCTGGCTGCAGCCCTGTTCCTGGCTGCAGCTCTGCTCTTGGCCCTCATCCTAGCCATGACTCGGCTTCCAGCTCGGAAAGGGGATTGATGCTGACACTAGGGATATTAAATATTGGTTAATTGAATAGTCGGTTAACCTCATGAATTCTTATCAGTTAGTCGACTATTCTATAGTCCCCCAGCAGCCCCTGTCCGGGGGGAGAGGGACTGAGCTCCCAGAGCCGGCACTAGCTGGAACTGAGCCGGGCTCCCTGCCCACCTGGCTCCTAATACACTTTAAATGCAGAGCCACAGAGGGGTAGGTCCAGGACCCAGTGCAAGCCGGAACTGAGCTGGGCTGCTGGCGAGCCTGATAAAAACTGTACTGGCAAGGGGTTGGGGGTGGTGGGGTAATGTGTGTAGTCTATAGCATTAACCTATAAGCTTTTGCTTATCTGTTAATTAACTATACTATTATATCCCTAGCTGATACACTCCTTTATTGGTAAAGACAGGGGATTCAAGGGGAAAAGTTTGGGCATCGCTGTGATAGAGGCTTGTGAAATCATGAATGGTGTGGAAAAAGCAAATAAAGTGTTATTTACTTTTTCACACAAAGCAAAAACCGGGTGCCATCTGAATAAATTAATAGGAAATACAAACAAGGAAGTACTTGTTTACATAATGCACCAAAATTAACCTGTTTGCCAGAGGATGTTGTGAAGGCCAAAAGTATAACTGGCTTTCAAAAAAAAAACAAAAACAAAAACACACCCCACCTAGATAAGTTAATGGAAGGATAGCCCAAGATGGTCATAGATGTAAACCTGTTTTGGGGGTGACCCTGAATCTTTGACTGCCAGAATTTGGGAGGTGAAGATAGCCTGGATCGTTCCATCTACCCAGTTCTGTTTTTTCCCCAGGAAGCTTTAGTACTGGCTACTATTGGACACAGAATCCTGCGCTCGATGGACCGTTGGTATGAATCAGTAGAGCAGTTCTTACATACTCTTACTGTAGGATTTACTGAGTCATAACCTTACTTTAGGATCTGTTTATCTGGATTTTGCTTAGGTGCACAGGTCCCCCGTGTGGATGGAGGATTTATCAGAAACATTTCTGATTGCTCAGTTTCTGGTAGTTTGAGGGGATGGGAGGTTGTTCTTCAAGTTGGTTATTAATGGTGGGCTTTCTGAAGAAATTATTCTGCATATTGGCAAGATGTTTCTCATTCAGATGTCTTTGTGTCTGCAGGTCATGAATGCAGATGGCAGTAGCAGGAGAGTTCTGGTAGAAGACAAGCTGCCTCACATCTTTGGATTCACTTTGCTGGGAGATTACATCTATTGGACAGACTGGCAAAGGCGTAGCATTGAGAGAGTGCATAAGCGTTCAGCAGAAAGAGAAATCATCATAGATCAACTGCCTGACCTAATGGGTCTGAAAGCCACTAATGTCCATCAGATCATTGGTGAGTGAGTAAAAATCAGACTTGGGGAAAAAATGTGAAAAGTAGCTTCAAGAGCAGCTGAATGGGGTAACAGGTTTCTTTCACACTGTAAAGACACTACCCCAACATGTTAGCAAGAACACAGAAAATCTGTGATTGTATTTAACTTGGATAGGGAAAGTAGCGAATTGTGTCAGCAATGCCCTTCTTCAGGCTTAGAGTTCTCTGTAGCCTGGGTGTCATCTTATGGCTTATCTACCTTCAAAGTGCTACAGACACTGCCTACTCCAACAGAAGGGCTTAGGTTAGAACATTACTCCTGGATTTCTGTGCCAAAAAATTTAAAAATTCTGCACGTAGTATTTTCAAATTCTGCCAAATTGTTCAAATTTTATTTGTAAAGTAAATGTGGAGGCTGTAGCGTGGCATTAAGGAGCACAGGCCACAGCTGTGGGTGACTCATCTGGGTGGTCTAGATATAGTAAGGGGTGAGGCTTGGCAGGAGGGTCTTGATATGAGGGGTCTAGATGCACGGGGCTTCGCCATTAAGGAAAGCAGATCCCTTCTTCTCCAGCTGAGAAATGATGGATGCAGGAGGTGGGTGGGTAGGTGGAAGTTTGTAGAGCTTCCTGCAGGTGAGGGAGAAATCTGGGTCTGGGTCTCACCCAGCCCCAGATGCTGTGCAGTGGAAGAAGAAGTCCTGTCCTTCCCAGCTCAGCCGTACTAACAGCTGAGCCCAATACAGGATAGGAGCCACCAGGTCAGGTCTTCCACAGTCCTGCCTTATTCTGCTGCCCTTGACTCTCAAAATATAGTGCTGGGGAGGCTCATAGGACTGTTTTTGTGGCTTTCTTTTTCTTCCCTGTCAGAAAGTTGTTGTTCTGTGAGGAAGCTGAAAAATTTGCAGAGGACATTAATTCTGTACGTGTGCTGTGGCACAGAATTTCCCCAGGAGTAGAACATGTACAGAATTCAGCTTAGCTATGTGATGTTTTGTATTTCTGTAGCACCCGTGGTTGGTTAATGAAACTAAGACTGTTCTATATGCCTTCATCTCACAGCTTGTCTATGAACTGTGCTCCCTGTGTCTACACAAAAGCAAGGAACCACACAGGTTTTATATGTGCACTGATAGATTTAAGTGGGTAACCCACTAAGTTACATGTGTCAAATGCAGGCCTCCTCCCAACTGTTGGGCCTGCATGAAATATGTGTTTGGTGGTGCCAGTGCAGTTTTTAATTGACAGACTTCTTAACACTCACAATCACAATGATATTCTTTATTAGTTGTCTGAACGAGGGAGAAGTCTGCAATTGTTTCCGTTCTTGAGGTAATTGCTATAGGACAAGACTGAGTTAGGTTGAAAGGCAATGTACTGTGGAGAAAACTAGCACTGCTGGATGAGAATAATGTCAGATCCTTCTTTTTGTTTCTACTGAATGTGTAGGTACAAACCCTTGTGCCAAAGACAATGGTGGTTGCAGCCATCTCTGTCTGTATAGACCTCAGGGCCTTCGCTGTGCCTGTCCTATAGGCTTAGAGCTTATCAGTGATATGAAGACTTGCATCGTCCCAGAAGCTTTCCTGCTCTTTTCTCGGAGAGCAGACATCAGGCGAATTTCTTTGGAAACCAACAACAACAATGTTGCCATTCCACTTACGGGAGTCAAAGAAGCTTCTGCTCTGGATTTTGATGTGACAGACAATCGGATTTACTGGACAGATATCTCACTGAAGGTAAAAGAGGGAGTCCTCTGTGTACACTGTTCAGTCCTGCTAATTATGGAATTCTCAAAATATTTAAACTCCAGAACTGATCAACAAATAAATGTTGCAGAATTCTAGTGTGATTCAGTATAAAATGTCTTTTCATGCACTGGGCAAAATTCAGATGTGTTCTTTCTAAATTGGCTTTTATGTTTTTTTCATGTATACCATAAATTTGTAGGGGATGAAAGTCTAGCATGTGGTGGAAAACTGAAACTGGGAGAAAACACCACTTAGACGTGAGAGAATAGCATGGATATCTTGTCAAATAGATTGTGGGAGGGAACTGTGTCTTGGGCCTGAAGTAAAAGCTGATGTTTGTCTTCAGTATCCATTAGTTATGAAGATACTATGCAGTAAGTGACATTTGGTATAAATTATAAGTTATACAAAAATAGCTAGACTAGGTGTGAGTGAAATATTGGCTAGTGTTGCAGATCAGAAACAGGCATAAGGCAGACAAATGTTCAACATCAGTATTTACCAGTCTACTTGTGCGCACTCAATTTCATGAGCAGAAAATTTGTTCAGAAATATAATTGTTGGGATTTTTTTAATAAAGGAAGAATTCTGTAATTACATTGCGGACTAAACAACAACTTGCTGTGTTCTTGCACTCTGAAATTTAGGAGTTGGGCTCACAAGAGCTAAAAACGTAGCTTATAAATGAGTTTCCGGGAGGGAAAGTGACCAACCTGTTGTAGAGATTGGTTTATCTTGAATTGTGGTTGAAATAGGTTAAATATGATTCCCCTGGTTGGTTTGAAAGAGCACTGCAGATAAGGGATTAAGAGACACCAATCTCCAAATTGTGCACATCCTTGGGACATCAGTGGTTCTAGTGCACAAACTGGAAGCAAACAAAATTGAACTTTGTGGTGACTCTGCAGTATTTAAAAACTTGAGGATTGAGTAAAATAGGAGGAGATGGAAGGAAGCTAGTGTTTGAATACCGTTGTCCTTGGCAAAGATATGTTATCTTCAGGCTTCTTGATCATACTTGTATACCAATTAATGGCTAAACTGTGAAATATTATAGAGTTATAGCCGCCTCTTTTATCCTAGAAATGTCCATGAAGTTGAGAGTTAAAAGAGAAATGTTTTGATGAGAGAGAGATCTGAAACTTTTCTTAATTGGAAGTGAAATTAGTTGCCTACCAGCCAGCCATAAACACTGGCGCTACCGAGCTGACTGACTTCTTAGCCAGTCATTGTTTCATCTCCTTGGTGATTTGTGCTGAACTTTTTAGAAAAGGAAGTTTAAAAAAAAATCACAGCACTGACAAGACATTTGTCACAATCACTGTGCTTGTGTGTTCTGCTCCTCCCTTCTGCTTGTGTACTTTCTTGTATATTTAGATTGTAAGCTCTTTGGGGAAGAGACTGTTTACTAATCTCTATTCTGCTTAGCATAGTGGCCTCTGCTGTTGATTGATCCTTAAGGACCACCGAAATAAACCCTTATTAATGATGTATGATGGGGGTAGTTGGGTGGTGTTGAGTGACATATGATGTACAGGAGATTGGAGGACCCTTCTGGCCTTCATATGCTGTCTCTGTGATTCTAAAATATTGCTCCTTGCTGTAACATAGGAACTGCAGCATAAGCCTGAGTATTCCAAAATGTTTCCCCCCGCTCAAAGCTGGCAGTGAGTTGTTAAGGCCGGTGTGGTGTGTAGAATGCTTAATGGAAGTCAACTGAAGTAAAACCTGTTTATTTCTTCAATGACCTTTCATAGGGCATAGTAAACCATCACTCTTGACTAGGCCTGATTGTTAATTGTACAAGTAACTAGCATATCTTTTTCCCCACAAGATGCCTAAAAGCTGAAAGTTTTAAAATGTAAACTCCAATGATAGACTGGTAAAATTCCTAATTTGCCTGTATATTGTTGTTTCCCTGCAGACTATCAGCAGGGCATTTATGAATGGCAGTGCACTTGAACATGTGGTGGAGTTTGGCTTGGATTACCCGGAAGGCATGGCAGTTGACTGGTTAGGGAAGAACCTGTATTGGGCTGATACCGGAACAAATCGCATTGAAGTGTCAAAGCTAGATGGACAACATCGCCAAGTATTGGTGTGGAAGGATCTGGACAGCCCCCGGGCCCTGGCATTAGACCCTGCTGAAGGGTAACTTGCTGGCTTAATTTTACATTTACAGATTTTTTAAAAATAACACATGTACTTTCTGTAGGGCATGTTAATGAGGCACCAATATCAAAATCCTGAGAGAACTCAGCTCGGGGAATATAACCTAGCAATTTAGAATACAAGGGCTGAAGAAATGTGCTCTTAGTGTCCTGAATAATCATTAAGAATACTTCACAAAAATCAGAAGCTCATTAAAAAAGGATTTATATTTAGTTTTTTAATTAATCATAAAATTGAAGTAGCTTTAGGTTTATGGAATCCATTAATTAAAAAAGGTCTATCACACTGAAAAGAAAAATATTTGTCCTTTTAAAATGGAGCTCCCTTTCATCACTGATAGGGTGCTGTGAAGGTATTATGTGCTCTTCCTCTGAGGGGGAGGTGAAGCTCAATGTGAGAGAAAAAGGAGAGAGATTATTTTGGATGGAAGGGACACATTTGGTAGATGGGGGAGGGAAAATAGAGCATCCAAGAAAATTGCCCTACCTGCCTATACCAAATGTAAGATTTTGTAATGAGAGAGGTCTTTTCTCCAGGAACTGGGGCAGGGAAATGGATTCAATCATACTAAAATGTAATAGCATTTTACAGAATGAGAAAAGAACTGTCGTAATACAGCACATTATATCCTTGAAATGCTTTATGAGCATTAACTAATTTATTCCTTACAAAACCCATAACAGAACACTAGTTATGTATTTACCCCTATTTTCATATGAGGAAGAAGAGACAGAGAAATTTAGGGTCTGATTTTCAAATGTCCTGAATTCCTAATTTATGGTAGGAGCATAGAGACTCTGAAAATCAGGCATTGTGTCATGAGTCCAAGACCAAATGGAGTCACTTCACAGAGCTTGGGAGAGTCCCAGGATTTTCAGGTTCCCATTCATTACATAGAGTTGCCTCCCCATATCATCTTTCTCTTGAAAAATAACAGTTTAAGTTTGGTAAATAACAAAAATGGTCATTCAGTATGGGAGAGAGCAAAAATTGCTGTTGTGATATGCAAATCTGAACCAGATATTTTGGGAGTAGGTGTCTGTAATGTCCACAATGTCCCTCAGAGCTGCTTAAACCATGGAATTGCTAAAGGAGGGCTGTGATTTTGCCACTTATTTAGTTTGTGGTTCATTTTCATCACTGGTATTCACAAGAGCTAGCATTTCTCAAAGTTGCTCTTTTTCCCTTGCTGTCTGGCTAGAAATTGGTCAAAGCACTTGTAGACCTGAGTGGTTCTAAATGTCTCACCTTATATTCACACAGGGAACCCAACAGCAATGCTGCTTTACTTGCCTTCCCTCCAGTTTTTAGTTTAAAACAACAGATGTTTGCCAAGATTAGTTCAGGGATTCTCAAACTTTGTTGCACTGCAACTCCCTTCCAACAAGAAAAGTTACTACAATGACCCCTGGAGAGAAGACCAAAGTCTGAGTCTGCCTGAACCCCATTACCCCAGGTGAGGGGCCAAAGCTGAAGCCCAAGTGTGCCAGCCCCAGGCAGGTACCTATATCCCTCAACCCAAGGACTTCAGGCTTTGGATTCAGACCTCAGGCTTTGGCCTTGGGTATTGGTGCTTGGGCTTTGGTCTTGGGCTCCAGCAAGCCCTGGAAATCCTATAAAAACAGAGTTGTGACCCTCTTTGGTGTCCTGGCACACAGTTCCATTGGCTTAGCTTATCTATCTAACCTACTTGGGTGTGTATAATATTATTATAATTTCTTAACTCTTATCTGAGAACCAGATGTTATGTGTTCAGGATATTAGGATAAGCGTAGTACATGGCATAAAATACAAAGAACTTGGTATCATACATATGGAAATACATCCCCTTGCTGCAATCTGGTAATGCCAGAGAACAGCAGGATATGCTTTTGTGGGGATCACGATCGTAGCACTTAGGTGATTTGGATTCTACACGTAGTAGGGTGAAAGCATTACATTGATTCAATAGTATCTGAGATGAAGTATATCTAGGGTTGCCAGGTGTCCGGTATTCACTGAGAGAGTCCGGTATTTTCGGCTGCTGTCCGGTAAAAAATTCAGAGAATACCAGACACCTCAAATGTTTGGTATTTTCTGAATTCTTCCCCAGCCAGGAGGTAAAAATGCCGGGCAAAAAATGCCGGGCACCTGGCAACCCTACAAACACTCAGTGCCCGGCCTCCCTCACCCCCTTTCCCTCCAGCCCCTGCCGGCTCCCAGCCTCCTTGGTTACCTGGTTCCCCAAGGCTGCTGGCACAAAATGGCTGCCGACCAAAAGACCTAGGGGAATCAGTGCTTTCCCTTAGGTGTTAGTGCTCAACCGTCCCTATCCCTGCACTCACTTTTAAAGGGGACATGCTGTTTTTGTTTTAATTTGTTTTGTTTTATTTTATTTTATTTTTGCTCAACAACTTTGGTCTCCTTCCCTTTTTTTCCCCATCAACATTTTTTCCCGTTTTTTTTGGGGGGGGGAGGCGGGGAGTGTTTGGTATTTTTGTTTCAACCATCTGGAAACCCTAAGTATATCATTACCCAACTGCAGTGGAGAGCTCAGAGATCTGTTCACAAGACCAGAGACTCAGTCTGAACACACTGTTGCTCTTTGTGATTCTAATTTTCCATTAGGAATACTTGAACTTTCATCCTGAACAGTCTATGATACAGCTGTTTGGGCTTGTTGGAAGTACATGGGGGAAAAACTTGAAAATGTCTTGCAGATCCACCACTCTGCCAAATTAATTAAGCTTAGTTCCCACTTGTGGTGAGCTGCCTCAACCAGTACTAAACCTGGAATAATTCAGTTACCTTTCCTCTTCTTTTCCTCTCCAACTACTGGCCATAAGTCATTGCAACTTCCATATCATTTAAAAGGAACTTTCCATGGCCTTTCTGATGTCGAGATTTGTATTAGCTATATGCTGGGCACATCTGACTGGGGAAAAGCTTTTCATTTATCCTGCTGGCCAAACGTTGGGTTAATGCTGAAAAGGACTAAGTAGGTTTGCCTGAACATTATCATGACTGGAGATAAAGGTGTTAAATTTGGCTAGTTATGTTTATACCCAAATTTTTGAGTGCCGTGAAGTCATAACATTGTGGAAGATGTGCTTAAATACTTGCCGCACTGATACCAAATGTTTGCACAAGAAATAAACACCCAGACCACAAAATCCTCCCTAAAACAGTATAAAGTCCTTAAGGTAATAATTCACTGGAATGTAAAACATAATTGTATCCTTGATAAAGTCATATCATCAACTAGCAATGCATAAATTAGTAGGCAACTGTGCAATCCTTTGTACTGCATTCCACTAAGATATGGGATACTTCACGCATGAAAATAGTGTAGCCCTTTGTGGAAATGGGCAGAGAAAGGCACATCAAAGAAATGATGCTCAGATTCACCTATTTTAAAAGAAACATTTAATTTGGAGTTCAGTGGAGGATTGTGAATAGAAGCAGAAGGCAATTTTTGTTGCTTATGCAATGTGCTTTGGACTAATTCTTGATAAAGAACAATGTCTAATCTAATGTACCCAGATGACTTCTTGTTTATTATTAGCTAACACCCGTGAACTAGTTAGGGACGGAAGGGTGCTAATAATGAAGTCCTGGATAAGTTTCCAGCATCGAAACTCTATAAGGAAATCTGACTTTTTCCTACTTTGCATTTTAAGAAAAATATTTAATGTAATATGCTTTAATAAACACAAATTTATAACTCTGGTTTTCTGTTTTTGCTTTTGTGGTGTTTTTTCCTTTCATGTACTAGAAAGAAACTTGAAGAGTCTGTATAAGATAATGTGATATTTCTGGCATTTTTACACAGGTTTATGTACTGGACTGAGTGGGGTGGGAAGCCCAAAATTGACCGGGCTGCCATGGATGGAAGTGAACGTACTACTTTGGTACCAAACGTGGGACGAGCTAATGGGCTAACAATCGATTATGCTAAAAGGAGACTTTACTGGACAGATCTAGATACCAACCTAATAGAATCTTCAAATATGCTAGGTAAGCTACTGTTACTTTTTCTGTGCAGCTGGAGTATTTTTAGTGATACTCAGGACAAAGCTATCAATAGATAGCTTTTGGAGTGTCCTGTCTGACAAAAGACATAACTAGCATTTCATTTATTGTGGAGAGGTGGTGGGAAAACCAAGCAGCAAAAGCTCATAGACTTAATACATTTAGAACTGATTTTTTTAAGTAGATTCCATTGTATGCTTCAGGCATGGAAGTAAGATATGTGTGTATATGAGAGAGAGAAAGAGAGATAAGGAATGGGCCTCATGCTGCAGATGGGCTGTTGACAGAAAGCTAGCAATCCTGGTTAAGGCTGATATTAAACTGTACTGTGTTATTGTTTGAGTTTTTTTTAACATTTTGTGACCTTTCAATAAAGGAGCAATATCTAACATTGTTATAAAAACCTATTATGTTCCCAGTAATTCCTCTTGTTTTCCTCTTTTCCTTTTTTGAAAACAGGCCTAGACCGTGAGGTTATAGCAGATGACTTGCCTCACCCATTTGGCTTGACTCAATACCAGGATTACATCTATTGGACAGACTGGAGCCGGCGCAGCATTGAGAGAGCCAACAAGACCAGTGGCCAGAACCGAACTATCATCCAAGGCCACTTGGACTATGTGATGGATATCCTGGTCTTCCATTCCTCAAGGCAGGCAGGCTGGAATGAATGTGCATCCAGCAATGGGCACTGCTCCCATCTCTGCCTGGCAGTGCCAGTTGGTGGTTTTGTTTGTGGCTGCCCTGCTCACTATTCTTTGAATTCTGACAACAGGACCTGTAGCGGTAAGCCCTAAGCTCAAATGATAAATTAGAGGGGGAGTATGCCATGTGTGTTATTCCAATAGAAATCAATTGTACAAGCAAATGGATTTGATAACAAAAGTGTTTCACTAGAAAAAAGACTTTTTCATTTCTTCTTTATTTATTTTGAATAGTAACAAAAAGAAGACAGATTGCTTTGGTGACAGGAACATGATGTGCTAAATCATGGCACATTTCTACCTTTGATACTGAAAGATTATTAAAAACCTTTCCAGTTCCAATACAAAGTTTTAAATCAGGATATGTGTGTGAAGATGGTAATAAAACTGATTGGATTTTGTTTCTTAACTATACTAAAATCCTATGTGGTAACTGAGTAAAAGGATATTTTAATTTTTTTCCAAGCCAATAGCTTGGCAAATGCAATGCATTCACTTCAGTGAACCTTTTTATTCATTCTGCCAACCAAAGTAAGTCTGGATGAAAAGAGAGGCTGGAAACCCTTCTCCATGTCAGCCCATGAGAGTTACTTCAGGTCCCCGTTTATTTTTTTTGAGATTTACTAGCCATAAAGCATTAATGGGATTTTGGTGTATGTTTTGGAATGTTGGATGAGTTTTAGGTTGTTGGAGGTGAATTTAGTTGTGACTTATCTTCCAGCTTGAAGGGGTGCTGGCCAGATCTTCCTTCAGAGCTCAGCCCAGTATGGCTAAAGGCATTGCTTTTGAGTGAGAAGAGGCCTCAGATTGCTACTTTCACAGCACTTCCAATTCTTGATCCCAGAGGAGGCAGCAAGCAGACAAACCCCAGTTTTCTTTTTTGTTGTGCAGAGCATGAACCACAAGGCGCTTAGACTGGCCACAAGTTAGTTTCTAGACAAATAATTCACCTTTCTCTCAAAACAGTCTGCCATCACAGCACTCTCAGATCTTCAAATGATGGTCCCTATGTGTATTCCACACGTTGCATACACATGTGCACCATGTGTTTGAGTCAGGAATTTTTTTGTAAGCAGTGGCCATTGGCTTGTATGTGTGCTGTAGCTAGGGATATAAATCCTGTTTAATTAGTTAACTGGTTAAACATTATGTAAACTATGCTGAGGCGCCAATTTCCTCAAACAGAATCTATAGTTCTGCAGCCAGTCTGAACATGAGCTCTTGATATTGTTTGAAGACATCTGGCAGGGATGGAGAAGATGGAGTAACTGCCTCCATTCCTGCCAAGTCATGGGAGCCCTATTGTACATACGTAGGATCGGTGAAGTGGCCCTCTCCATCACAAGGTCATCATTGTTAGAAGCTTCTTGTGCTTCCACTTCATTGGGCCAAGTACTGCCTTGTTCATGCCAAGAGGAAATGCTTTTTTTCTAGCACTTGGTCAGAGTGTTCCAAGTAATAGGTGACTCTCTCTTAAGAAAGGACACAAGTGACTGAACCTTCTAAGGAGAAAGGTCTTCTCGTTCACCAGTTCAGAATTTCAGCTTATCAGGCCCAGTTGGCCAAATATGATTTTACTGATTATGAGAACTTCTGAGGGGCATGATGCCTGCTTCCGGGCTTTAGTGCATGGGTACAGAACCTACAGGCTGTATGCAGCATTCGGCCTATAGTTTGTCCTGGTCCAGCCCATGATGCTTGGGGCTTCCCTCCCACCCATACACCATGTATGGCCCCTGACTGATTTTCCTATTGGTCAGTGGCTCACAACTCAAGAAGGGGTTCCCCACTCCTGCCTTAGTGGATGAGGACAGTTTGGTAGCCAACATTTCCATCCAGGCCATGGTGGATGCAAAAGATTGCATCTAAGGAGATGGCTATGGCCAGTGTTGTTAGAAGAGCTTTGTGGTTACTGTAAATGAGTCTATCGGGGGGCCCGATGGCACCCCTAGTTCTCCATCCCCAGTCCCGTGCTCCCGTCACCCTGTGAATCGCTGTCCGGCGTCCCAGTCAGTTTCACTATTCGCCCAGGGGGCCTCTTTGCGGTCGGAGGCCGCCTGACCTCCCGTAGCGGGGAGAGGGGGTGTCTGGGTCTGCCCCCTCTCACGGACCCCAACCCAAGGCCCTAAGGACTCAGACGCTTCACCCCTAGTTCTCCATCCCCAGTCCCGTGCTCCCGTCACCCTGTGAATCGCTGTCCGGCGTCCCAGTCAGTTTCACTATTCGCCCAGGGGGCCTCTTTGCGGTCGGAGGCCGCCTGACCTCCCGTAGCGGGGAGAGGGGGTGTCTGGGTCTGCCCCCTCTCACGGACCCCAACCCAAGGCCCTAAGGACTCAGACGCTTG